GTGAAGTGTTACCAATATCATGGCGGCAGGTGCCATTGTTCTTCAAACAACTCTGTACAACCCGAGGAAGTAGCTGTACTGGGAAACAGGTCTTTAAAAGAAGGATCCGGTAACCCCACAGTGCATTTAATTCCTTGCTTGATGTCCCTCTGAGTGTGTGTGAACTCAGGTCATTCACTGGAATTCCTTTGGAAATCTGGACGGTTGACAGTTTAGTTTCAGCGTTGTCCCCTCTTCTCTCTACTGAGTGTCTCTGGCTCTCACTGCAGTCAGGCTTTATTTCATTGCGGACGGCATTCACGCATCCTCTCGTCTGAGGACCTGGGCAGCAGCACCTCCTGCGGACTTTACTGTCAGCATATTGTTCATTCCGCTCTTGATTCCCTTACCAGGTGGAACTGACACCCAGGTAAGGCGAGTTGGGCGTTGTCTGGGGAGTTGCCTTTTCCCAGCCAGCTCTTCCTACCAGCCCACCAGCCCTAGCAGAACGCTGACACTGCCCACTGGGGTGACGGGCTTCAGGCAGTGGCCCACATCATCAGTGTCTGAGGACCAGAGAAAGATGGTACCAAATTTACTGTTGTTAGTACCACTACTAGGTGACCAGATGTAAATGCCGCAGGGGCAGGCACTGGATCTGATTTTCTTAGCATTTTATTCCTAGATCTGCTACAGTTTTTATCAAATAGTAAGCAATCAATCAGTATTAGTTGAATATTATGATTATCATCCTTTTTTTTTTTTTTCTGAAAAAGCATTTAAGGTAACTTTAATCAGCGTACATTGAATCTTACCTTCTTTTTGTGGCTTACAGAAATATAAAATTACCTTTTGCCTCTCCACTGTAATTTCTATTTCAAGCTCCGATCATTTGATACATCAAAGATGTGCTGCTGTGTTTAGAAAGAACTCTTGGCTGAAGTCAGAAAGGTGGGCGTCATCCTTGCTTCCTCTTGCGGTGGTTGTGGAAGATAAGATGGGCCATCCCACTCTGCCTGTTAGTTTTCCAACAGTGAAATGGGTTCAGGCAGATCCCTGTCTGTCTCAGGCTTGTTGGGAAGGGCTGGTAAGATATTCCATGGAATGCTTTCTGAAAATTCCACATGGCCATCTTAGGGTGAGCACTAGGAGTCGTGCCTTGTGCAAGAAGATGGATATGCGTGCTTTGAATTACTCTTTGGAGGTGGTGCGAGTGTCTCCTACCCTGCTGCCTCTCTGGGGACTGGCTATTGTCAGCAGTGGGCTGTGGGAGCAGACGCCATGGGGCCTTCTGGCCATCAGTTGGTGGTCTGTGCCTCAGTAACTCATTCTCTGAGCTGCGCGGTGGAGCTTTGTATCGCTCCCTTGGGGCAGTGGTGGTTCAGTGGTAGAATCCTTGCCTGCCACGTGGGAGACCCAGGTTCGATTCCTGGCCCACGTACCACATGCAGAGCCACCACCGTCTGTGGGTGGAGGCTGGCGTGTTGCTATGATGCCGGACAGGTCTCAGCAAAATGCCCAAGCTCAGACAGAGTGGGAAGGAAGGCCTGCAATTGACCCCTGAAAATCAGCCAGTGAAGACCCTCCAGATCACAGTGGTCCAGCCCACAGCCGATTGTAGGGATGGAGTGGGCTGGGCTGTGTTTCGGTCTGTTGGACGTGGGTCACTAGGAGTTGATGGCCAGCTTGATGGCCGCTAACCACTACCAGCAGCAGCAGCAGCAGCAGCAGCAGCAGCATTGATCCCTATGACTTAGTATCTTTCCTTGTTTACGTGCATATATTAAGATCCCTAATATGTGACTAGGGAGCTCTGGTGGTGTAGTGCCTAAGGCATTTGATTGCTAACCAGAAGCCTGGCTGTTCAGACCCACTAGCTATTCCCGGGAAGGAAGACTGGGCAATCTACTTCTGTAAAGATTCACCACCTTGGAAACCCAAGGAGGGGTCGCTATGAGTCAGAATCGACATGATGGCAGTGAGTTTAGTTATTTTTTGTTTTTAATATGTAACTGGGACCCCTATAGGATTTCCAAAGCTGTAAATCTTTACAGAAGCAGATTGCATCATCTTTCTTCTATGGAGTGGCTGGTGGGTTCAAACCTCCAAACTTTTCGTTAGAAGCTAAATGCCTTAACCACTACGTCGCCAGAACTCCTATGTTGATATGTGACTAGATCTACCTTGATGCTAAGAATTTGTTTGTGAAACATGGCTTTCAATATCCCCATTATCTTAGCTAATTAAATTATTTCTCCCCCTTGTCAAAGAATTTTTCAAGTGACACCCAGGCCATGAAACTTTCCTGAGAATACTCAGGAATAACCCCCGAGACTAAGGCCCCCACTCACCCGTTGGCCTTGGAATTGAACTGACTTCTGTGGCTTTCAGTCAAACAATAGACGGGCCTACAAGGTGAACATCTACACCAGTAGATACACTCCTTAGAACAATCAACATGGGAGACCACAAGGGCAACATTTGCACAGGGAAATAGCTCAGAGGGCAGGAATACATAGGATAGAAGGACACAGGGAAAAGGTAACCACAGGAAGGAAGTGGGAAAAGAGCTGTTACATTATGAGGGTTGCAATCAATGTCATGAAATAAAATGTGTGTGAACTATTGAATGGAAGATGAATATGCTCTGCAAACTTTCACGCAAATCACAATTAAAAAAAAAAAAACAAACTAAAATCAATCAACCAGTCAAATCAGGAATGAGATAACATCATGACTAAACAAATGATTCACATCCCTCTCGCATCACATGCTGCTTTCCAAAAATCCATAAATCAACTTCTCTTTATTTCTTACAACAACTTCTTAAAAGCACAGCCATGTTTTCTATGTACTTTGATGTTTCTATGTTTGTTGATGTTTCTGTGTTTGTTTGGGATAGAGCAGTGAACAAAGCCCTGCATTCATAGGGCTCACATTTTTGTGGGAGAGAAAACAAGATTATTTTAGATTTTGTAACCAAGGAGGTCTGCTCGGAGGAGGGGGCATTTAGCGTAGTGAACTGTATGAAAACAAGCTTGTTATTGTTATGCCGTCTATTCGGACCCTACTCACAGCGACCCCTCCTTGGGTTTCTGAGGCAGTATCATTATGGAAGTAGATTGTCCACCCTTCCTTCCAAGGAGTTGCTGGCGGGTTTGAACCACCAGCCTTCTGGTTAGCAGTCAAGTGCCTTAGGCACTACACTAGGGAAAAGCATTCCAAGGTGAATGCCCATTAGATGCAAAGGTCCTGGGATAGGAATGAACTTATCATACTTGAGGGACAGAAAGCAGGCTAGGGGGAGGAGTGGGGAGAAGAGCATAGGAAGAGGGGAGGTCAAAACGCAGGGAGGAGCCCGATCAGGAAGGGTCTTGCCTGCAGTGGAAGGAGTTTTGAATTTGAGTTGCTAGAAATTGTAAATATTTTAAATAATTTGTGGTTTAAATATTCTCTTGAGATACTATGCGTTCTAGTCTTATCTGCAATGCTGGAGGCATTGCCAGGTTGTAGCATAGAATTAACAGTGTATTTTTGGAGCTTCATTTAATTCAGTCCTAAATCTCTTCATACTCCGTAAGGAGTTTGTTGCAAATTGTTTTATGAGACTGCTTGAGCAGAATGAGGAGCCATTTGACCAGGCAGAATTTTACCCGTGTGCAATTGTCTGTGTGAAGTCATTGCGACAGGAGAGATGGAGGGTCCCGTTTTGCTGTAGCCAATTCTTCATCGATTTAGATGTCCAACCATCCCTGAGCAGCCAGGGGCAGAACGGACCGACGTCCAATATTCCATTATCACAGGGACAAATCGTCATTGAGTCACCACTGAGAACGTGCCTTGGACTCTTGAAGTGTCTGGAGAGAAGCAGGGGGTCTTTGCACATTGTTTCGTGGCATGTCCCCAAGTAGTAACAAATGGTGACTCAGAGGTCAGCAGCAAAGGACTCAGGTAAACTGGTTACTTAGAGCAGGACCACACTGGAAAGACACATGGCCAAAAGTTTATGTTTCTCTGTGGTCACCTTTCCGGTACAGAGTAAAACTTTTCATGAAATTCTGTCTTATCTAAGTCACCACCATGTTTTTGTCTAAGGAACCCTGGTGGCATGATGGTTAAGCCCTCGGCTGCTAACCAAAGGATTGGTGGTCCTAACCCACCCAGCAGCTCTGTGAGAGAAAGACGTGGTGAGCTGTTTCCGTGAAGATTACAGCCTAGACAACCCTGAGGGACAGTTCTGCTCTGGCACATGGGGTCACTGTGAGTTGGAATCCACGCCACAGCACCTGCCAACGTGCAGGCCGCTCATCTTGGAAGCCTTTGACTGAATAACCCCAAACCACACCCACTGCCATGCACTTGATTCTGACTCCCAGCGCCCCTAGAGAACAGAGTGGAATGGCCACACAGGGTTTCCAAGGCTGTCAGTCTTCACAGAAGCAGACTGCCTGCCTCATCTTTCTCCCAGGGAGCAGATGGTGGTTCGAACCGCAGATCTTTTGGTTAACAGCCCAGTGCTTTAGCCACAGTGCCACCAAAACTCCTTGGGTCACCCTAGAAAGGGTCCTTGATCTTGTAGGAGAGTGGTAGGCAGAGGTATGCAGGTCTCTTTCTAAAGTAGAAGAGGCAGGCAGCGCTCCCAGGGAATCTGCCCAGCAGTCTAGCCTGTGAGCGTGAGATTCCAGGTTAGATCCTCGCGGCAGCTCAAAATATAAAGTAGGTATCTTCCTAACGAGCCCCAGTGTTACTGATTTTTTCCTGTAAATAATGTGTTTCTGACATCAACAGCGTTTGGGTTTGGGGAGGCTGCCCTGCACTGTGTATTGCATTGCGGACACTGGGTATCTGTAGGGTTAGTGCCGAGATAGCTTTGGGGATGTCCAGCAGCCCAAGAGAAGGATGTGTGCTCGGCTGGAACAGTGTTTGCCTAGCGTGGCAGCTCTGAGGCACAGACCTTGTCCCCCCAGTGCTCCACTTTTTCTTATGAGGCCATAACTGACCCACTTACGGTCTCGTTGCAGCTTGTCGCAGATCCTTGTGCCAGCAATCCTTGTCGCCATGGTGACTGTAGCAGCAGCGGTGATGGCTACCTCTGCGTGTGCAGTGAAGGCTACGAAGGGACCAACTGTGAGCAGGCTCGCCCCAGCCTCCCTGCTTCCGGGTGGACCGAGGCCACGGCACCCGGGCAGCTCCAGCCCATACCTGCCACCCAGGAGCCTGATGTGAACCTGCCCCACTCTCCAGCTACCGCTACGCTGCCAACGTGGCAGCCAAAAACAGGGCAGAAAGTTGTAGAAATGAAATGGGATCAAGTGGAGGTGAGGATGGTTAATTGTGTCTGTTTTTACATAGGAAACCAGAAAACTGAAAATAATTCCAGGGGTTCTAAAACCAGCAATAAAAACGTAAAGCCGGTAAGTTACTTAATGAACGAAACTACGTCCCCAACTTTAATCTGCGAGGCAGTGGTAGCTCACCTTCCCTAAGGGAGACCCAGGTTCATTCTGGCTAGTGCACCTGATGCCCAGCCAACGCCTGTCTATCACTGGAGGTTCTTGTGTGGCTTTGATGCTGAACAGGATTCAGCGGAACTTCCAGACAAAGATCGACTGGGGATGAAGGCCTGGAGATCTACTTTGGAAAACCAGCCAGGGAATACCCAATGGGTCTCATAAAAAAGACCAGCCTTATTGATCAGATGGAGACTGGTGGGACCCCTGAGACAGTGAACCTCAGTCCAACTTTCAGCCAAGGGATAGGCCTTTAAGGGGAACAGTAACACTAGGGAGGTTAGCACTCAGAACCAGCAACCATACGAGATCAAAAGGGCAGCGTATGCCCAGAGACAAAGATAGCAGGAAGATAGACAGTAAGAAGGAATGGAAACACGAAACACAAGGAGGTCGTGGGATGAGTACTGTTACGTTGTGGGGATTGCGGTCACTGTCGTGAAACAAAATGTGTATGAATTATTGGGTGGAAAACCAATTTGCTGTGTAAGCTTTCACCCAAATCACAGTAAGGCGTTAAAGAAAACAGACCAACAAAACCCTGTGAATCACAGTGGTCCCGTTTTGTTCCATTGTGCACAGGGTCAGCATGAGTTTGTGGTCTGATTCTGTTGGAGCCAACGAGAGCAACCTTATTCTGGTCCACACTTACAGGTTACACACACTCTCGGTTACACAAATAAAGCACATCAGTTATGATGATTTTGTGAGCATAACGAGAGTAAATAAGAGAAAATGAATGAATGACGTTATTTTCTGGACCATTATTGACATACATTTTTTGTGACATAATCTTTAGGGAGCCCTAAGCCATAGATTGGAGCTCTGGTGGCACAGTACTTAAGGCATTTGGCTGCTGACCAAAAGGTCAGTGGTTCAAACCCACCAGCTGCTGCATGGAAGAAAGATGAAGCAGTCTGTTTCTATAAAGATTTACAGCCTTGGAAGCCCAATGGGGGTTGCTATGAGTTGGAATCGACTCAATGGCAGTAAATTGCATTTGGTTTGAAACCATAGATTCATAGATTTGGGGGCAGGCAGCTCAATTAGAAGGATATAAATGGACTATCACATGACCTTCCAGCATTGCCCTGATTCCCCTTCATAGAATATTACACTCAATTTTTTTTTTTTTTTTGGTTTTACAAGTTTAGGTTCTATTTTCATACCTTGTAGTACTTCACTCTGGTGGCATAGTGTCTAAGGCACTGGACTGCTAACCAGAGGGCTGGTGGTTCAAACCCACCAGCAACTCCTCAGAAGGAAGATGGGGCACTCTACTTCCATAGTGATACTGCTTTGGAAACCCAAAGATGGGTTGCTATGAGTCGGGTCCGACTCGATGGCACATAACAACAACAGCAATTCAGTAGGATTTAGAAAAGACAAGATATCCTTGATTTGTAAAATATTTTGAGAATGCATTTGAGAGTGAGTTTCAAACTTTTATTTATTTTGGGCAATAGAAAAGTCTTTCTGTTGAAACTTGTCCATTCTGGGTGTGGCTTGTTACATTTTCAAGCGATAAAGTCTCATTCTGAGAGGTTTTCAGCAGACCTCTAAAACTGATGTAAAGCATATGTACTAGTCTGCATAGTTGGGGAACAAACCCAGTCCTGAGTTTGAAGCCACCCACGTGGAGTGCAATCCTCCTCCAAAGCTTACACTTTTTGTCCATGGTATCCTGTGGTTGTGGATTGCCACCGGATGTGGGGCTTAAATAAGGAAACATGTAGATCTGTTTGTGTCATGTATTGGAGTGAAGGAACGTGTCTGGGTATTTCCGTAATTTCTGTAAAGGAGGTGTGTAGCATTTCTTACTTTCTTTTATTTTCTCAAAGGAGTTGTGGTGGCACAGTGGTTAAAGCATTTGGCCACTAACCAAAAGGTTGGCAGTTTGAACCTACCAGCTGCTGTGTGGGAGAAAGATGAGGCAGTTTGCTTCCATCAAGACTTACAGCCTTGGAAACCCTATGGGGCAGTTCCATTCTATCCAATTGTGCCATTGTGAGTCAGAATCAACTTGATGACAGTGAGCTTTCTTTTCTAGGTAATTCTACTCGGTTGACCCACTTTTTTTTTTTCCTTCTAATTTCCACACAGCTTATGAAAGCCACATTCAGATTGCAGGGCAGTGTTTTTAGCTTACTTGAAAACAACTGTGGACTTGCTCTGATTTGAGACCTCTAAGACACGCTTGGGAGCTCTGGTAGCATAGTGGCTAAGACACTTGCCTGCTAACCAGAAGGCTGGCGGTTCAAACCCACCAGCCACTCCTTGGAAGGAAGGTTGGGCAATCCTACTTCCGTAGTGATACTGCCTCGAAAACCCAAGGAGGGGTCGCTATGAGTTGGGGCCGACTTGACGGCACATAACAACAACAACAACAAGACACACTTTGAAGTTCTGATTTTATTACCTTTTTTGCTGGATGTGAACTAGATTGGATTCCCAGTGTATCAGGGAAGTATCCTTTAAAGAAAATTTCTCCCTGGCCAGCCACTTAAATCTATGCAGTTACAGACCTGCTACCCTCAGGTTGTCAAATTGCCTCAGGTTCTGGCCACACGGGTAGAGCTAGAGGAAAACATGGGAATGTGTGTGGACTTCCTCTTCACTAAGTAATGATACTTCTTGGCAAACATGAATCTCTTTGTAGCCTTGTAGGGCTAAAGGCTATGGAATAGTTGTGGGTCATACAGATGAAATGAAAGTTGGGCTCACATCTTTAAATGTCACTGGGAGACTGTGCTCACAGCATTTGACTGTAGTGCGTTCTGCATAATAAGTGCTAAGTGTTGGGTGTGGGGGAAGGTGCTGAGAACTTGTGTATTATTCTCAATTCAGTGATGAATACTTTTTTTTAATATACATTTTTGGTGGTAACATACACAACCAAACATACATGCATTTACAATTTCTACATGCAAGTTCAATGACATCAGTTACATACCTCACACTGTGTCACCATTCTCACAATCTCTACCCATATTGTTTCGTCACCATTAATGTAGATTCTCTACTCCTTAAAGTCCTCATCTGTGCTTTAGATGAACTGTTGAACTCATCTAGATAAGTTCTTTTTAAGAGCTCACTGCTCAAGGTAAATGTTCCTTATTAACTGAGCTACACTGTTGTTTAGTTTAATGATGGTGTCACAGGAGTTTTGGGTCAAGGTTTAAAGATTATTTCCAGCCAGTAGATTTGGGGGTTCCCTCAGTCTCAATGGATCCAGTAAGTCTGGTTTCCATAGGAGTGTAAAGTGCTGTTCCATGGTTTTCCTCCTTTTGATCAAAGACCCATGTCATCACTGGTGAGGACCATGATCACGGCATGCAGAATGGATGCCTGAATTGGTCAGGAGCCTTCACTAGATGGTGCCCTCGTGTTCATAGTATGCTGTTTGCCTCCTTTTCAATACACAATAGTACAATACTTAAAAACTGACCAACCAAAACGCACATGGAATTAGGTCCATTTTTTTTTTTCCACTTGAAACATCTTGAATCTGATTGTGGTGATGTTTCTAGCCAATGACCGAGGTTGCCAGTAACAGCAATGCTTTGACCTGTTCCACTGCTGCGGGCCTTCCTGTCTCCGTACCAGCCAGCAAAGAGCTGCTGGCGCCTGACAGCCAGCCAAGACTGGGCCCCTTTGAGGCAATAACTTTGCAACGTTCTGTTGCTTGGGAGGGTCCAGCATTAAGGTCAGCTTCTTCACTGTTGTTTTGGGCCAGCTCAGACCTCCCGGAGCCGAGACCGTCTCTCCACAGTCTGGAGAGGCTTGGACAGAGGGACCTAGGTAAGCACGTGCCTGCAGCTGGTGGTTCACAGGAACTTCACTTTCTTGTATTAAGCACACTTGACCTGTTTCGAAGAAGATGACTTTCCTGAAAGTGAAATTTGTTACAATTTGGCTTTTAAAAGGTGAAATAGAAATATATTTATCAAGAAAAAAAAAAAAAAAAAAAGCCCAACAAAACTGAAGGTGTGATCCACAGGGGAAGAGAAGGACAGCCTGCCAGCTCCCCAGTTTCAGACCCTGTATAGCACAGAGACGGGCTGTTCAGACCAGAAACACCTCGTGCAGTGCACGTTGTGAAGGGTGGCGCTCCTGGTCAGGGAGGCTTACACTGCCGTTTGTAAGCTGGTCCCTATAGTCCACTCCCTTCTTTTAAGTGCATAGTCCCTCCTTACTATGTGGTTGAGCGTGGAGAACATTGAGCATGACCAATGGAAGCTCATTAAATGAAAAGCACAGAGCTTGAACTCTGCTTCCTTTCGGGGAGTCTCCTGTTGATCTGTCTGAGCAACCCCGGGAATTTCCAAACTGCTCTTAGGAAACCTTTTCCATTTCAGAAAATCAAGTGGTAAAACTTCCGTTTTCATTTGAGTTCATAAGGTTTGCCCTGTCACCTTCCCATTCCCACTCCTGCTTTGTGGAAAGAAATGAGGAGGATATCTCCCCCTCCACCAAAAATAAATAACAGAAACCTAATCTATTGCTGTCGGTTGGTTCCGACTCACAGTGCCCGTAGAGGACAGAGTGGAACTGCTCCATGAGGTTTCCAAGGCTGACGTCTTGATGGAAGCCCACTGCCTCACCTTTCTCCCACTGAGGCGCTAGTGAGTTTGAACCTCTAGCTTGTCAGTTAGCAGCAGTAAGTGTCTAACCACCGTGAATGGAAATTTGCTTTGCAGTCTTATCTTGAACTGCCCCAATAACTAGCTTGTTTTCTCCCCCCAGGTGACTCCAGACGTTGCCTGTGGGAACGCCAGTTCCAACAGTTCTGCGGGAGGCCGCCTGGCGTCCTTCGACGTGCCGCAGAACACCTCAGTGAAGTAAGACAGTTCTCTGGGGAAAGGTGTTCCGCTTAGTTCCATGATCAGCATGCTGGGCTGCATGTCTGCGCTGAAGGGCCAGTGACTAGTCAGTCCAGCGAGGAGCAGGGCGGAGTCTTGGGTGTGGTGGAGGCCCAGGTCATTCCAACCCGGAGGAGGTGATCTCTGAGGAGGACATTATAGTTAGGATCAACGTGAGGCTGGAAATGTGGGATTGTGGGATTGGGTTGGAGAAATCGGGGTGAGGTAGGAAAACCTGATGCCCTAGATAAGGTCTAGAGCCAGACGTGTCACCTTCCAAATAACTTTGCTTCCAAAATGATTTAGCCTCTTAGGATCTTAATTAACTTAACCTATAATCACCAGCCACTCCTCGGAAGGAAGACTGGGCAATCCACTTCTGTAGACATACCACCTCGGAAACCAAAGGGGAGGGTCGCTAGGAGTCCACTTGACTCAGTGGCAGTTTTTTTTTTTTTTTTAATAATAATAATAAAATTGAATAAATTTTAAATTAAGGTCCATAAGCGTAAGATACCGCCAATTTAAATTCCAAATATTGCAGTGTTCTCTTTGAAAACGGCTGAGAAGATAGCGTTTTCTTTGCGTTTAAGTTCACACTGCTCATCGTGACCTGTGGGACAAGGTGAAGGGCAGTATTGTTGACCAGGCCTCTGCTGCAGTGAGGCTCAGAGGACACGGTCGGCTAGACCAGTGGCTCCATCATTACAACATCCCAGACTCTGCTGACCATCCCAACACTGACCGCCCTTCTCTGTGGCCTCTTACTGCCCCTCCCCCCACCCTGCCAAGCCCACCAAATGAGTGTTTACTGTCCACTCTTTGGGGATTTTAGGAGATTGGGTGACCTGTGGCCCTGGGCAGCCAGCACACCTCATCAATTCTGTTTTAAGGAGGACAGTGGGCACTATACAAGGGAGTGGCCAGTGAGCAGTGGGTACTTTATGAGGGCATTTTGCACACCTTGCTTTGTGTTCTCAACAGTGGGGTCGCTTTGGAATGTTTGGAAGAAGGACCTTGTTTCATTGCGTCTGCATCTCCCACTCTCCCTTCTCAGACTTGAACCATTTTGCATGGAGAGTGGATTCCATGTCCTCTAGGGAGAGGAGTGGGTGTCTGAGGCAGCTTTGCATTCCACCAGCAGGGGGCGCCCTGCCCTAAGTGTTTCAGTGTTCCTCATCCCCAAGACACCCCACCTTCCTGCTGGTTCCAGCAAAACATGGATGAGCTTCCTTTACTGCTGTGAAGCTGTCTCCCAGCCCTCTCTTGGCTTGAGCCTGTTAGCTCACCTGTCAGCCTTTCCTAATAGTTCTTAGCTCATCCTTTTATAGCTTTTCTATCCTTTGAAATGGTTCAAACCCACCAGCTACTCCTTGGAAGGAAGGTTGGGCAATCTACTTCCATAGTGATATTGCCTTGGAAACCCAAGGGTTCTCTGAGTCGGTCTGACTCGACAGCACATAACAACAACAACATCCTTTGAAAAGCTTTCAGAATGGTTTTGTTTTGTTTTCCTCCCAGCAAACCCAGAATCCTCTCGGACCCCCCTGGGCTGCACAAAAGGACCTAGTAGCAGTCTGACCCATACTAAGATGGGATGCCTGATGATTTTGGGGTGCCTGGAATTCACTTGGGGGGGGGCTTGTGGGGTTACGAGCCCCTTACCTTTCATTTATTCATGAACTCAGTTGTTCACCCACCTTTTTGAGCACCTGCTTGAAGCCCACGCTCAGTCCTAGGGAGGCAGCTCTGCAGACACTGAGGGTATAAGGGGAGACCAGTTCTCCGCTAGCACAGAGGAGGAGTTGGCAGCTTCCTGGGGGCAGAAGAATGGCCAGGGAAGATCTCCAAGAAGAGGCAATACCTGGGCTTAGCCTCAAAGGGCTGACAGTTTCTAGGTGGAGAAGAAAGCCACTTGTCATCAAGTTGACTCAGGCTCATGGTGACCCCAGGTGTGTCCGAGTAGAACTGTGCTCTGTCATGGGGTTTTCAAAGGCTGCTTTTGGGGAAGTAGATTGCCAGGCTTTTCTTTGAAGGTACCTCTGGGTGGACTTTTTGACTTGTACCCAAGCAGGTTACACTTCCGTAGTAGGTGGAGGAGGATGCAAAAGCTGGGAGCTGGGAAAGAGCTTGTTTAGGGGATGAGCCATCAGCTCATTTTTGCTACGACATTGGGTTGTAAGGTTGGAGACGAGGCTGGGAGTGAGCTGGGGCCAGGGTTGACCAGCACCTCACTCAGGTGGCCATGTTGAGCTGCAGCATACATCTGTCACACGTTTCAGTGGGACTCTGCATTGTGTGGCTGTGGCAGTTAAGGTGATGTGTTAACTTGGCTGGGCCTGGTTTTGAGTGTCTGGGTGGCTGGTTGTAGTTATTTCCCGTGATGAGACTGGCAGTCAGCTTCATGGTAGAATCTACTCTGAGCAGCTGAGTAGTTGCTTTAGGGATGTGGTCTGCTTCCCGTATTCAAGGAGAAGCTTTGGGAATGGTCTGCAGCTTTTGGCACACTTGAACCCTGCACGTAGCTGAGTCTTCCTTCGGCAGCCTGCTGTGCCCTGCTGATCATGGGAATGTTAATGTGCTTGAACTAGTGGTCTGCTGTGTTGTTTGATAATGTGAGGACTATGCCTTTTTACTTACCAACCTTGGGCTTGTCAGCCTCAGCAGCCAGCAGCTGCCTGAGTGAAGAAAGCCTCTAGCTTCAGTGGGCCGGGAGCAGGAGACAGAGCTGAAGCCCAAGGTCTAGGGATTTTCACCCAGCCCCTAGAACCTGGCACTTTGAACTCAGGCTTCTAGCCTCCAAAAGTGCAAGAAAATAAACTCCTGTTTGTTCAGACATCCCATTTGTGGCATTTTTCTGTTAGAGTGGCTCGAAGGAACCAAAGAAGTGGTTATGGAAGGATGCATGTGTCAAGGAACTCAAAGGGCCCTTTTATTATTTACAGACATTGTTACCCAAAGGTGAGTTACTTGTGAGAGGTTTTGTGGCCTGTTTTGAATACCTGGGTGATAGATATTTCTAACAAATGAGGGAAACTACTGCCCTGATTGTGCACCATTAAACTGGCTGCTTGTTTGCAAGGTCGTTTCATTGAATTCCTGCTACATTTATGGATGTACACATCATTTTAATGTTTATTTTGAATTTGATAAGCTGGTTCTAAGATGACTTTTTCTCAAAGGGACTCTCTGTTTGTCTTGTTGCTGTTCTCAGGATTCGGCAAGACGCCACTGCTTCCCTGATTCTGTTGTGGAAGGTCACAGCCACCGGATTCCAACAGTGCTCCCTCATCGATGGCCGGAGCGTGACCCTCCTTCAGGCCCCCGGAGGCCTCGTCCTCCTGGAGGACATGCTCGCCTTGGGGCACAATTACTTCATTGGTGAGTTACAGGGTCTCCTCCTCATGGCATGCTTTCTATTCCCATATCTGATTCAACCCACCCTTGGTGTGGTTTATAGAGGCAGAAGACGGGATTTTGCCCAGATCACCTGAATTCTAGCCATCAAAGCCAACATGGCCTCCATGTTGAGTAAGGCTAGATAGTGTCTAGATAGTCTTTTCAATGAGGCTCAAAGTGACAGAGCTCAGGCTTTGGAATCCAGGGACTGTGTCCTGGTCCCTGCCAAAGCTTAGTAGGGGTGTGAGCTTAGGTAACTCACTTAAATGCCCTGCATCTTGGTTTTCTTTCTGACATTTTAGTCCACTTGCTCCAGGAATTGTGGACAACTTGAGGTATTGACTGTTGGTGTGTCAGAAAAAAAAATGTTTTTCCCACTTGACTTGAGCCCAGCAAAGAGGGCCTCTGTATGGACCTTGAAAATGATCAATCTCTTTTGAACCACATGCTCTCAAGTAATTTTCAGGACCACAGCTCTCTCTGGGGCCTCTCTTTGTATGCCCATCCTTCCCCAAAGGGGTGCTTCTAACTTTTCACTCTTTTTCAAGCCTGCCTCTGTACCTTCCCTGAACTACACTCATCCAGGGAAGTCTCCAAATTTCTCTGCCCATGGTGTAGAAAGGACCTTCACAAAGGGTCACCCCTAAGGCTCTCCACTTCCCGGCCCTGCCACTCGGTCCTCCAAGGGCTACACATGGACGCTTTTCTAGTTGGTCCTGTTCTGTCACCTCTCCCCAGGTGTAGCATCCTTCCTGTGCCCTGTGAGTGGTTCTCATCCCTTCCCCAGCATGTCTTTCTTTAGGGGTCGAGACCAGTAACTCTAACCCATCAACCTGCTGATAGCATCAGGTACTTATCGGAGCCTGTTGCATTGGCAGGCAGTCTCAACTCAAGAACACAGCTTAAATTTAGTCTCTGCCCGTCCCAGGCCAAGGCACCCCAACACTGGCCTGCATCCTTTCTTAATGCTTCCTCTGGTCTCATCTTCTATCCAGAAGACCCTCACCCAGAGGATGGGAGTGGGGACTGATGACACCCTCTCTCAAGCTTAAATGAGACAAACGATGTGAAGGTATAAATGACAAGTGTTAGGCATTATTCTAGGGCACTTTTCTGTTTCTGAGATACACTAAATATTTTGCTAAAGTAGATGGGCAGTATAACATAGAGATGTGTTTGATATAAATATCATAATGAATATAAGCTGATAAAATAAAAATGTTCACCTCTTTGTAATTTATATTGGATTTTATAGTTGACCCTTCTCTAATTGAGAAGGTAAGTTTGCAATTGGTGGAAATGCAACTAGGACTTATCTTGGGTGGAGAGGAGGTAAGAAGTACGTGGCTGCAGTGAGAGGGCTGGGCATTTAACTTCAGGTGAGTGTGTATGGACTGGATATCAGTTCCAAATTGTGTGATGATGTGCCGTCAACAGGGTCATGTCTGTGTTTGATTGCACAATACATTCCAAATAACTATCATTTATGTTCATACTGGTTCTCACAATTTCTTTAAAAGGTAATAGCTTATAGTTTTTGAGAAACAACTTCAATTTTATTCTATATTGGTCTTTTAGGTTCTTGTCTTTAATTAGTGGATTAATTTACCCTTTTATGACCTGGAATGAATATTTCAAGAAAACCGCTGAGGTATACATTCTTTAAGAAGTTAATGTTTCCTGAAGATGCCCATTCGATATTTACTTTACACATCATACTACAGTCTTAGATATCTGGTGCTGCTGTAACAGAAATGCCCCGAGCTGATGGCTTCAACAAACAGAAATGTACTGTCTCACAGGCTAGAAGGCTGGAAGTCTGAATCCAGGGCTTTAGCTCTGGGAGAAGCCTTTCTCTTTCAGCTTAGAGGGAGGGCCTTGTCTCCTTTCACATCTGTGGGCCTGGTGTTCCTTGGAAATCTCCATGTGTCTTGCTATCAGTCTTTTCCTGGGTCTTTGAGGTTCTCAGCACAGGGACCCTGAGTCCAGAGGACCAGCTCCACTGCCGGCTCTTTATTGGTGGTACTGAGGTCCCTCTCTCTCCTCGCTTCGCTCTCCTTTTATCTCTTGTAAGATGGCAAGTGATGTAGGCCACACCCCAGAGAAACTCCCCATACATCTGATCAGGCCTGTGACCTGAGTAAGGGTGTTGACCCTACTCCCCTCACACCTGATTGGCTGATCACATCATGAGGATGATTTTGTCCTTGCACGATTGCCAAACCACTGAGAATCATGGCCCTGCCAACTTGACACATACTTTTTGCAGACACAGTTTAATCCATGACAGCTAGTTGTTTTTTTCCTTTCCCCATTGTATTCATTTTTTAAAAACTTCTTATTGTGATTTGGGCAAAAGTTTACAGGCAGATTTGTTTTCCATTCAACAACTCATACACATTTTGTTTTGTGATGTTGATTTCATCCCCACACTATCACAGCCCTCTTCCCACTTCCTCCCTGCATTTACTGTTTCCATTCATCCTTCTTTCCTATCCCTCCCTGTGTTTTGAGCTTTATCCCTGGGCAAATGCCACCCTTTTGATCATGTATGCTTGAGTGTCCTAAGGGGTGTGTACTCCCTGGTGTTACTGTTCACCTTAGAAGCCTGTCTATTGTTTACTGAAAGTGGAACCGCTGGAGTGAGTTCAGTTCCAGGCTTGAAAAGTGACTAAGACCATAGTTTCAGGGGCTCCACCAGTCTCTGTCAGACTAGTAAGCCTGGTGACTTTTATGGTTTGAGTTTATGACAACTATTTTATGATTGTAACATATCTGTAGCCTTAGACTCACATAAACCAAAAAACCAAACTCAATGCCATCAAGTTGATTTCAGCTCATAAGCAACCCCTCCTTGGGTTTCCGAGGCAGTATCACTACAGAAGTTGATTGCCCAACCTTCCTTCCGAGGAGTGGCTGGTGGGTTTGAACCACCAGCCTTCTGGTTAGCAGTCAAATGCCTTAGGCACTGCAAAAACGACAAGGAGGCCACATGTTCTGACCTCCTGTAATCTCACAAGAGGAAGACAGCAGTAACCCAAGGCCTATTACTGCAAGGCCAAACATGCTGCCTTCCTCCAGCCCTTTCACCAACCGTTCCTCCCAAAGCACCCACCACCTCTCTCCTGGGTTCAATAATTCACTGCAGTGGCCACACAGAACTCAAAGATTACAGGGTTTATTAGGGAAGCACCAGGCTACAACTCAAGTTCAGGAAGAACGCTCAGTCTCTCTCCCAGCCCCCTGTCCCTCAGCCAAGAGTCTCTCACAGTCTCTTTCCCAGCAGTGCTGGTCCCTCGGTGTCTCACCCAGCAATGCTTGTCTCTTGCGTCTCTTTGCCAGCAACGCGTGTCTCAGGAGCCCGTGTCTCTTTCAGCAGCACGTCTTCTTCAACCAGCAGTCAGAGAGAGTTCTCCCTCCAGGAGGTGTCCTTTAGAGCCTGCAGGGTGGTCAAACTAGCCAATTATAGCATCAGAACTATAAGCACCTGAGAGAGAGTGGGCACCTCCCAGAACATTGTTTTGTGCCACTCCCAACAGAAATACTCCAGGTGGACACCTTCAGCAATCAGGAGCTCCTCAGTTGCTCATAGAAAATCCCACCTTGGAGTTTACAAAGACTTATGGGTAGAAAAGTCACACTAAGTAATTTACTACACCACAGGCACTATGCCACCAGAGCTCCCTACACTCACATGGAGGGATTAATAGGGGAAGAATTTTCAGGGTTAGTATGTTTTTATTATTTTCAGATACAGGGAATCTGTGAACTACTTGAGCTTGTTTTATGAACATGGAAATTTCATTAAACAAAACAAAACAACAGTGTTATCTTGGATTCACATGTTTTATTCCTTAGGGAAATAATTTAAAAAGAAATTTTATTTGAAATATTAATACTATATTAAAGAAAGTCTTTCCCAAAAATTATACTTTGGGTTATGATAAGAAGGTAAGAGTTTGGACAAGATCCTTTATTACTAGAAACTGTTGTCTCCATTTGAATATTTGGTCTCATATCCTTACACATTTCCTAAGGAGCTTTCTAAGTGTTTTCTGTGGCTTTGTAAGGGAGATCCCAGGGTTTCAGTGCTAGTCTGTGTAGAGCTAGCGGGCGGCCTTGTTCCCGGCCCCCTCTAGGGAGCAAGACCAGCCTCATGACAGTACTCGTCTGGCTACACTTGCACAATGCCAGCTGTTTCCTCCACAAAATCTTTTTATCTTAAGGAAACAGGCTTTACCTTCTGTAATCGTCGCAGAAGCCTTATGCTTACTACGTCGACACGTGTTGACCATTCTTTTTGTTTTATTTTTTAAGAAGCAGCTTCTTAAAATAATTCACTTTAGCAATGTCGGGCCCTCTAGACACGCACATGTTGTAGCGAAGAACCCAAGGTCTGTTTTGAAGAGACAATGACGTTCATCTCACAGCTGAACACACAGTTGCTAAGAGCAGGTGGAAGGTGAACTTCCATGCCAGAGGGAGAGGAAACTTCCAGAATTTTATTGCTGTGGGAGTCCCTGGGTGATGCAAATTGTTAGGTGCTTGACTACTAAGTCCAAGTTTGCTGTTTGAACCCACCGAGAGGCGCCACGCGAGAAAGGTGTGGTGACCTGCTTCCCAAAGGTCACAGCCTTAAAAAGCTGTGGAGCCCAGTTCTCTGCACACTTGGGGCCACAGTGAGTTGGAGTTGACTGGCCAGCAACTGGTGTGGTGTGGGTTTGATCCTTTTTAAAAATAGACTTGAGAATTGACTGCTTCCCTCTCCTCGCTCACCCTGAGTTGTTTCCCAAACATAACTGATGGCAAAATGTATTTAAAAGTTTCTCTAAAATACAGCAGAAGGCTTCCTCTGTGCCTTTGAGAGGCAAACTTGATTGCAATCATCATATTTAAATAAAATATTCTTTATCAAACCTGTTGGCCAAGGGTCTGATTATCTGCAAGTTCCAGGTGACAATGTGTGGACATATTCTTGTTAT